TTTTGATCGTAAAACTAGACTGTAGAGACATTGCGTAAGATTTTAAAATTGTATTATTTAAATGTTTTTCTGGGATCCGAAATTTTTGGGTTCTCTTATATCTTTAATGATCTTAGGTTGGTTATTTGGACCTTGTGGGATCTGTGATTTTTTAAGATATTTAAGGTTCTTTTAGGATTTTTCTTTAAGTATCTTAGATCTTTTCGTATCTTTCATCGTTTATTGTCTAAGATCTTTTGGTATCTTAGGTCTTTTAGTATCTCAGATATTTTATTATCTTATGTCTTTTAGTATCTTATACCTTTAGATTTTTAAACTTAAGTACTTTTTTTTAGAATCTTACACCTTTTGGCATCTACGATACTTAGATATCACTTTGATGTTAAAATTTACAGTATGAAAGATATTTCTATCTTTAAAGGATCTTAGTATTCTTAAGATTCGAGAATTACCCTTTGGATCATAGATATATTAGGATCTAATTAAATTAAATTAACAATTTAAAAAAGGTATAGAAACATCAAACCTGCGAGTATTTAATGTTTTTTTATATCTTTCGCTGTGATTGACAGCAACAACAAATCGATGCAGACAAATAACAAAATGGGGAAAACAGAGAGAAAACAACAAAAATAAATAAATTAAACAATTTTTCAAAACATTTAAAAATAGTGCGCAAATTGCTATTTTTATTATAGACGGAAAAAGAGAAGACAAAAAAAATACAAGCACCAAAAAACAAGGCAAAATAAAAAGGAAAACAAAACAAATGCGACAAATACTCAATCGATTCTCAGAGAGAGGGAGAGAGAGAGACCAGAAGAGCGTGAGAGGGGGGCTTATCACTTGGAAGAATTCTTCGCTCTCGCTGCCTTCGCTTTACTCTCTTACAACGATTCGCTTTTACACACGTGAATTATATTTGTTTCCTCTCTCGCTCACACTCTTTATCTCTGTGCTCCTCTCTCTCTCTCTCTCTTTATCTCTGTGCTCCTCTCTCTCTCTCTTTATCTGCGTCTTCTAATTGCATTCTATTGTCGTCTGTTTTGATTTTTGTTTTGTTATTGTTTTCTGGCTTCTCTCGCTCTCTGTCTTGCTTACCCTCCTTCTTATTGCCATCTCTTTTTATATTGTTATTGATTGCTTTTGTGCATTGCACATTATCGCCTTCTTTGTATTTGTTGCCAATTTTCGTTATTGCGCTTGAAAAAAATTAATAAATAATAAGAAAACAATAATTAAAGAGAGCAGAAAATCTGCGGCAACAAAATACAAGCAATTTTTGTATTGCGTTGCGCTTTTGTTGTTTACTTTTATTTATTATTCTTTAAATACTTTTTAAATCGTATATTTCCATTCAAAATGAAAGTACTTGTAAACAATATAAAATCCCTTAAATTATAAAATATCATATTAAGTTTATATTTATATATAATATTAATTAAAATTTCTAATTATGGTCAGTTAAATATTGAAAAAAGAAATGCTGCAAACTTGAATACAATCGAACATCCACCAAATAATAATAAAGAGCTTCGTTAAAATATAAAATCAACTGAAGACAAGTTTTACAGATACTCTAATGTATTTTACAGATGTACACGAAACATCATCATATTTTACTTGAACATTACATTTAACTCCTACTGCTTGCAATACAGTTTGAGCTTAATTGTTCTTTGCTCTACCGTTTAAAAATCATACTGCTTTGCTAGAGAGTTTTAAAACCATTGATTTAAAACTATAGTTGTATAAAGCAGTGCAATTCACAGGCGGCAAAGGCGCCCTCTTACGGTTTAATCGTGTTAACGTGATTCAACTGCTTGTGAAAAGCAGTGTGTGAACTGCTTACACATTTTAAATATAAAGCAAAGCAGAGTACATTGGGGAATTTAATTTTTACACTTTTAACATATGTAAAATTTAACTATAAGTAGGTATTTATGGATTTATAAATTAATTAACTAATAAATGTTTTTCTTCTTCTTTGCAGGTAAGCCACAAAAGACAACTTTAAATCCGTTTTCTTTTATTTATGTGTGAATGTGAGTACCTTTCATTTTCCCCCTCTGCCTTTTCATCAACAGAACATGCATTCTACTCTATCTTCCTAACACACTCTATTTTCCTATTTCACCCTATCTCTCTATCTCTGTCTGTGTTTATCGCTGTCCCTGTCTGACCATGCATCTAAATAATTTAAATGATTTATTCATGCATCTCAAACTAACTTTGTAAATAAAGTTCTGCCTGAAACACACACATAAATCAGAAGTTATAGTTTTGATAAACATGTGGAAAGGAAACTAGATGAAATTCCCTTTAAACTTGTTAGTAATTGCCAGATTTTAAATTATTTAAATTAAATTGAGAGCTAAAATAATAAATTGGGAATGATAACTAATTACAAGTGATTTTTTTACTTGAAAAAATTTATAATTTATTAGAAAGAGGATACAAATTAAAGGGTGAAATCTTTACTCAACTTCATATACAAAAAATAAATTTTAAAATATCTTTCTCTGGAAATAAATAGCTTACATTTTAAAGCTTAAATATATAGCTTACATAAGTATAAAGTTAAATGCTACTTAAATATCTTCTAAATTTCTTTTTAAATTTTTCATTGTCCCATAATTTTCTTCAAGTTTTCCATTGACTTTTCTTTCTCTTCTACCTCGCTTGCGCAATCCTTTTTCTGCTCTGTCTGTCTGTCCTTTCGAGCTAATTGTGCTGTCAAATCAAACTGCCGAATTTCCGAATTAAAACCGCAAAACAACAACCAAAATTACGTAAATACACACGAGTATAGAAATGGTCAAGAAAAACAATTTGCAAATAAATTTCAACTTGGCTTGGCTTGAGTGCAAGGTAAAAAGCGATGAAAATTCACCGATAAACTTAACTGCGAAAAAACAAAACGGCAAAGCGATTAATTTATACCCCCGCTCTCCGCTCCTACGAAAACTGACTGGAAAATTTCTTTTCAACGATTTTTTGTTGCTGGTCTTATCTCTCGGATCGAAGTTTTCGAGGCTCCCGATTTGGCATTTTTCCCTCTCGCTCGGCAGCAGTTTTTCTTTCAGCTCAGCTCCATTCACCTAATTTTCCCCAAAAACAAACAGCAAATTGTTGTTTTTCTCTCAATTATTTTTTATTTTTGTGGAAACTTTTATTTCCTTGTTGGATTTTTTTTTTGTTGCTGTTGTTGTTGTTGGGCGACATACTGAGCAGAGGAAAAACACAATGGTAAATGAAAATGCGGAGGGAAATGCTGCTGAGGCAGCCGCTGCCGCTGCATGTAATGTGCATTTAATTTGTTGCTGCCTTAACAATGCAAGCCCAGGTCACAATAACCACAACAACAGCAACAACAACAACAAAAAAATGTTATAAAAAACGAAAATAACAACAAAATTGCACTCGACAGCTCTTTGGTCATAGTTTTCCATACTTTTTCACACAGGGTCGTGCTTTTTTTGTCTTATTTTTTTGTTCATTTGTTCATTTTATGCTAATTTTCCTACTTTGCCATTATGCAAGATGTGAAATTCAACAAAGAAAAGGATGATGGCAACTCAGTTGTTGAGTTGTTGAAAGGATGACACTACGTTTTTTTTTTTTTTTTCATTGGAAGAGATTTTAGTAAATTGGAGAAAGCCTCACAAATAAACTCGCAAGAAAGCGCATTACGAATGTGTGAAAATATTTTTTTAATAATTATTTTAAAGTCATTTCCTGAAAAAAACATTTTAAAATGCGAGGAAAAAGGTTGAAGTTTATGAAAACTTGATTTTATAGAGATTTCCTTTTCAAAAAATATTTTGTATTAATTAGGAAATTATTAATTATATTTTTACACATATTTTGCCTTTACTAAATTAACTGATTTTTACATTTCCTTTTCTTGGCTTAACTTCTTTTCCTGCAATCTTGATTCCCACTTTTTATAGTTCCTCTTAACTTCCTTTTGGCCCAGAAATAAAATGTTTCTGCCTTTTTAAAAGTTTAATTTTTATAGTTGTAAAGAACAGACAAAGTTCCATAAAACTGAAAATTAACAATTAAAAGACACAACTTTCTGCTGCAGTTGAAAAAATAAAATAAGGAAACCGCAAAACCCAAAACCAGCAGCAACAGAATTTTCCAAAGGGGGATAATCAAGAAGGAAAAGCGCATTTTCCCATTGCGGCTAGACTGCAGCTGAATTTTTTGGTTGAATGTTGTTTTCTTTCCTATTTTTTTTTTTACATTTTTCATTTGTTATTGTTGATTTTTGCCCACGGCAGCAACACAAACTCTGCAGAGTTACAAAAAATACCTGTAGACTTTGGGTTCTTACAAAGTTGCATTTATTTTTTATAGGAAGTATACAAACTTTTTCTTTGTAGCTTCTCTTGTCTGATTTCTTCGAATTTCCACACCGGAAATGCATTATTTATTATCAAACTAAAACCAAACTTTGTTGCTTTCGTCACTTTGCTACTGAAGCAAAAGAAAAAAGATCAAAGATCAAATCCCAAAGGAAATGTACTCTATTTAAGGAGATTAATTGGCAACAACGTAATTGACAAAATGGTTGATCTTTCTCTGGTTTTATTTAGTTTTTTGTTATATTTTTTTTCCTTTTTGCCAGTTTTCATTTTCGAGGCATAAATTGCATGTGGCATGCCACATCCATCATGTGTTGCAGCTTGCTGTTTTTGCTGCTTTGCTGTCTGGGAGGAGGAGTTGTTTATGCTGAGAACTGGAGCGCATCGACACGTTGCTGGCGCAAATGTGTTGCATCATAATTTTCTCTATGTGGCTATGTTGTTTGTTGTTGTCTTGCCGTAAATCAAGTGGAAATTGAGTGGGCTTTTCTTGTTTTCAGTTTGCACTCTTTTTTTCTGAGATTTTAAAAAAGATTCAGGGGGGTATCTTAATGTGTAAATTAAATGTGAAAAGGTTGATGTTGTATTTTTTAGATAATATTTGTACTGAATGGTTGAGAATTATTGATGGATTGTGATCTTAATATAGTGAACTATCCTGATAGGTTTGTTTATTCAAGCAAGTTGTTGGTTCCGGACTATATCTAGATTTGATTTAGCTCTTCTTCAGGCGTAAGAACTCTAAATAGTTGTAATTTTCCAAGTTCACAAGCTCTTTTTTATGAACAAGCTGCTATTATTTATCTAAAACTTAAAGGAAATAGCTTTTGGAAGCTAAGGAACCCTTCTGAGTGGCTCCGCCTGCCTCACAAAAATATGAATTTTAAACAAGTTTCTATCACAATCTTGATTTCCACATTAAAATTCAGTGATTTGAGAGGAAGGAAAGCAATATAATCACTCCACCTTTTATGTTCAAGATCATAAATCATCTTTTCTTAAAAAATAAATTGGAAATTGAAAAATAGATTGGCAATACTAAAGATGTATGGATAGCAAAATATACACAAAGGAAAAACACACCGATATCGTGCCACAAAGAAGCATTCTTCACCAGATTCTTCACCGATCACCAAAACGAATCACTTTCGAATCGCAACTCGAACTCTCACTTCATTGAAGCAACATCGAATCGACTTTTGTTGCCCGGCACCGAATCCTTCTCACCCCCAAAAAACCCAAAAATATATATCAAATTTCTATTTTAATTTCAATTGGAGAAAAATCAGCAAAGAAAAACTAATGGAAAATATATATAAATATTTATCTAAAAAAGCTTCTTTCACCTCTCTCTAAACTATATTCTTTTTTTTACATATTATTTTTTTGTTTTATTTGCGCGCGCAAAACCATTCTGCTTTCCAAAAATCGAAACCGAAAACGTATCCAAAATCCAAAACAAAACCCCAGCTTTATCACCTCCGCAATACCTGGTGGCAATAGGAAGCGGGCCTTTAGTAATCCTCACATTGGAATTATCGGAGGAGTTGGAGGAGGATTAGGAGCCGGAGGACTCAGTGTTGATCCCGGCGCCTTTATGCATCGCCTAAACCCACAGCTTTATTACTACAACAAATCCCAGTCGGGGAGAAGTTCCTTCTGCGTGGACGAATCCTTGTGGCCAACGAATCCGAATCATAATGCCCGAGCCAGTGATACGAATCTGTATATGGGTTCCAGCACCGATGAGGATTACGAGGAGGCAATTGATCAGTTTTCACCAACACTATATACCCGCACAGGAGCGAGTCGTGCGATTCCTATACCCACAAGTGCCGGGAATAGTCCACAGCATCAACTGCATCCACATCTGAATCCTCATCCTGGAAGGATCGCCACGGGTATTAATTCAGCGGCGGCGGCAGCTGCTTTCAGTGCCAGTCCCTCGATCTATGCCTATCCACACTCACCGTTCTATGCCAGTTCACCGGAGACATCCTCGCTGTCATCGTCGGCACAGATGTCCGGAATGCCAACAGGACATCCTGGCCCCAGTTCCCGCATATCCTTCAGCTATGATCCTGCCTTCCAGCGTTTGCAAGTGCCCAAAACACGATCGCCGCTGGAATGTGCCAGCGTTCTTGCCGCCGTTGCTGCGGCTGCCACTTGCGGTGATGCACAGCAGATGGGATTGGCCACTCCTTGCAACAGGTCGGTTCCGCCTTCCTTTTCCTGGTTGCGGCCTGCTTTAAATTCCCCCTAAGAAAATGTCTTCCAATCTTTGTCCTTTCCTCTCAATGTTTTTTGGTGTTCTAACCGCTTGCTGTTTGCCCCGTATTTGTTGCACGCTGAATGTTTCGTGTTGCATCTTTTTCCAGGGTGGGATTTTACATTTCTAATGGTAATAATTGAAAAACTCATTAGTTGGAGGAAGCTAAATATAACATTTTTCATGAAATTTTTTAGTTTTCAAGCCTAACTTTTGGAATCAGTTTAAAAGAGGAATCTTCTGAATCTCGGTTTAAAAACACTTCGAAATTGTTTGAATTCCTAACTAAAACATAGTTTTATATAAGAAAAAATATGGTATAAATATGTTTAACATTTTTCTCATATGGATCTTGACATTATTTTGGAATTTTCCATACCTTTTACTAACTTTTGTTTAGGACTCTACAGAAGTTAAAATATTTTTGAAACTTTTACAATCAGGGAAGTCAGTGTCAAGTGTTGATATACAGTCAGCACACAATTTATTCGGACACCCGATACATTCAAGTTTGTTCATTAATAAATCAACAACTACGTAACGGAATTCAATATTTTATATTTCATATGAAAGATTAACATTCTAAGAATATGTTTGAACAAAAAAAGTAGGGAATTATTAACTAAACATAAGATAAATTCTCAAACTAAACAAAAAAGTCGTTTTTTCTCGCACAAAAATTATTCGGACACTTAAGTTTGACGTTTAAAATAGGACATTTTTATGTTTTTAAGTGATTTTATATTTAGTGGGTCCTTCCTTAGCATCAATGACATCTTGTAAACGTCGACCCATGATTTTAATTAAGTTGCTCGTCTCAGTACTTGTAATATTTTCCCAATTATTCTGCAACGCCGTTTTCAAGGATTCCTGGGAAGAAATGGTATCCTTTCCGTATCCTTTTTTCTAAAACATCCCATACATGCTCTATACGATTGAGATCTGGTGATTGTGGAGGTGTTTAGAGCTGCTGGCATTTCCATATTAGCCACTCTTGAACCAAATACGAGGAGTTTTTCGGATTATTATCTTGTTGAAACAAGAAAGTCTCCGGATTTAGCCCTAGGTTTCAAAACTAGGAAGCAAATTTTCCTCTAAAATATTCTTATATGTGGTCTTATTCATATTCTTGTTAATTAAGACCATTTTGCCACCTCCACTCGCAGATACACACCCCCAAACCATAACATTTACATGGCAGAGTGGCTCGCCGAAAGCCATATATTTCTGCCATCAACAAAAAAAACGTTTGGAGTTCGCCAAACTGCACGTAAATAAGCCGGATTCGTTTTGGGAGACCGTGGTTTTCAATGACGAATCTAAATTAAACATATTTGGGCATGGGGGCCCTCCAAAAGTATGAAAAACCCCAATGAAGCCATGAAGGAGAAGAATTTGATCCCAACTGTTAAGCAAGGTGGCGGAAATGTTATGGTTTGGGGGTGTGTATCTGCGAGTGGAGGTGGCAAAATGGTCTTAATTAACAAGAATATGAATAAGACCACATATAAGAATATTTTAGAGGAAAATTTGCTTCCTAGTTTTGAAAACCTAGGGCTAAATCCGGAGACTTTCTTGTTTCAACAAGATAATAATCCGAAAAACTCCTCGTATTTGGTTCAAGAGTGGCTAATATGGAAATGCCAGCAGCTCTAAACACCTCCACAATCACCAGATCTCAATCGTATAGAGCATGTATGGGATGTTTTAGAAAAAAGGATACGGAAAGGATACCATTTCTTCCCAGGAATCCTTGAAAACGGCGTTGCAGAATAATTGGGAAAATATTACAAGTACTGAGACGAGCAACTTAATTAAAATCATGGGTCGACGTTTACAAGATGTCATTGATGCTAAGGAAGGACCCACTAAATATAAAATCACTTAAAAACATAAAAATGTCCTATTTTTAAACGTCAAACTTAAGTGTCCGAATAATTTTTGTGCGAGAAAAAACGACTTTTTGTTTAGTTTGAGAATTTATCTTATGTTTAGTTAATAATTCCCTACTTTTTTTGTTCAAACATATTCTTAGAATGTTAATCTTTCATATGAAATATAAAATATTGAATTCCGTTACGTAGTTGTTGATTTATTAATGAACAAACTTGAATGTATCGGGTGTCCGAATAAATTGTGTGCTGACTGTATGTACATATGTGCCATAAATCGAATTATTATTATGTTATAGTAATCTCGATTTTTAAATATAAAACGTTTAATATTTTACATTCTAATATATATAAGTAAATTTTTTTCAATAGGATATTTCCTTTCAATATACAACTCTAAATCCATGTTTTAATTTATTTTTATAATCGGCATGTATTAACTTTGGTGATTGTAATTTCAATATTTAAGCATGATTTAATTCCAAATTTAATACAATATTTCTATATATTAAATTAAAGTCTTTAATATTAATATTGAAATTCTGATCCCACTAAAACGGAACCTAACCAAATAAAACCCTTGGATGAGGAAATCTTTAACCTATTATTATTCCTTTATTATTCCTTTATTGTTTTAAGATATAATTTATCAATCAAAGTAAGATATTCATTAATTCCTAAGCTTAGGCCCCTTTTTATTTATGACAGAACCTTTTCAAATTATATATTCTTCAAATATAAGATACATTCCCATATCAATTTGCCAAATCATTATCCTTCGATCAGGTTACGTCATTCGACAGGTGATTCATGAAGGCAATCACAAAAAATGTGCATCGCTTTCGTGGTCCAAAGCCATTTATAATCCAGTCACAAGGTTGCCCTAAAGGTTTCTCTTCGCATTTATTCCCTGCTTTTTGCTTAATTATACAAAACCAATTTACGTTCGAAGAAAGGAAGGAAGGAAGACCCCTTCTACACTCTTCACCCTCAAAAACTATTCAATCAACGCAACTCTCGACGCATTTAAACTTTGTGCGAATTTATTTATTTTTTGTTGTGGTTTCTTTGGGTTCTCGAAATGATGTCATTCCTAAAACTCGACTTCTCTTGTAATTCTTGTTTCGCGTTTTCGTGCATTTATTTCTCAATGATGATGACGATGACGACGATGATGCGTTAGCATTTGTAGCCTCATAAGCAATAAAAAAGCGATTCCCTTGAGGTGGCCACAACGCAATTTCCTGGCCACTGCGCAGAAAAGTGAAAAAGGGTCTCCCTGGATAGTAGTTCTCTCCCAAAAAAAAAAAAAACACAAGTAAATATGGAGACCCCCACAAAGGCGAGGCTTTGTTTGGGGAAACTGAATGGCGCAGTAAATTAGAGGTATCCATGAGAGACAAGTTCAAACACATATTTTTTAAGGGGGCCTGCCAAAGCCTAATAAATAACATTTTTTTGTCGCACAAAGAAATTCGCAAGGAATTCCTACGGAATTTTAGAATTAATATACAATTCATATGACGCAATTGCTATTGAAACTCATTTTAAGGAATTTAGTTTATCCGAAGATGAGCAAAGCTTTTTGAGATAACTATTTGAAAGTAGTTGTGCGTTTTCTTATAATTACTCTAGTGACTCACTTCACTTGTGATTCACTTGTAAAGATCAAAGCTGGCACTTAATTTATGCTTTAAAAGGAGTGAAGTATCAGTACTTTGTGGATGATTAATCAGGAAATTGTGTTGCTTTTTACTCTATCTTTCAAGGGAAATGAATGTGGGTATTTCCCCTAATTAAAACTAATCTTGATAATTGTTATTCTCTTTAAACAAGCTTTTTCTTTTAGATTACGAAAGGTAATATGTGTAGCTTAATATCAGAAGAAGAAATAAATGCTAATATAATAGTAAGAAGAAAGTTGGGTTTGTAATATAAATAAAATGAAATATATTGCAAATGTTTCTACCTTAGTAAGGGAAAAATTTAATAATATAAAATATAAAATATAATAATATAATATAATAAAATTTAATAATATAATATAATAAAATTTAATAATATAATATAATAAAATTAATAATATAATATAATATAAAAAAATTTAAAAATATAAAAATATAATAAAAATTCTAGGTAATGGTCCTGCATAAAAATAAAACTTATCCCCAGAAATCTTTTTTTTTTTAAGAAAGTTATAACCATTAACATTCATTTCATTAAAATTAGGTGTCACCTTTTATGTCTATTGACTATTTTGCATAAAACCTCAGTTCTTTTGAGTAAAGTTTAATATTTCGCTTTTAAAACCCAGTACAGTTGCCTCAAATGGTATTTAAAAATCTTTTGTACTTTGGTTTCCTTTATTCTTCCTCCAAAATGCAACTCAAATGCACTCAAAAAGCGCATAAAACTGATATTTTCTGCCTTAAAAAGACGTTTGACTGGACTCTCTTTCTGGGACCAAAAAACTTGTACAGATTCGAAGACCAAAGGAGGAGAACTCACTCAAGTTCAAGGTCAACGAAATATCTGAGAAGCCCAAGCGCGTTTCTTTTAGTATCTTCAATTATTTCTTCATTTTTTATTTTTATTCTTTTTTTCGGGAGGAAGCAATGAGATTGGAAGCTCACCCAGACTCCGCAGGCCAATTAGAATTTCAATTAGGCATCATCTGGGGGCTTTATCTCACTCAAGAGAGAGAGGCTCCTTATCGAGGGGGCTTCGAGTTTGGGTCTGAAAATGTATCTCCGCCTCTTGTTTCTCTTGTGTTCTTTCCACCAAAAATAAAAATAAAAGTAAGCTCCGATGTTTGTGCTTGTGGCGGCTGAATGGTTTGCTTTTGGGATGATGTCAGCATTTATTTTTGGCACAAAATGCTTGCAGCCAGTCGAGCAAAACACAATGCCCAAAAAAATAATCAGAAAATACAAAACAAAAAAGAGGAGCAAGAGCAAGAGCAAAAAAAGCGAAACAAAACAGAAATCCCGAAAAAAGAAAGAAACCAAACCAAACCAAACCCAAAAAAAGCCGCAAAACATGCCAAAAAA